CGCCGCCGCCACTTCTGAGGGCCCGGGGCTGGGGTGCTGGGCAGAGTCCTGGGGCGGGGCGGGGTGCCTGGTGGGAGCCCCACGTGGACTTGCTGCCCCGCTGCCCGCAGACCTGCTGGAGCTGCTGCTGCTGCAGAACGCGCAGGTGCACCAAGTGCTGCTCAGTCGCCTGGCCTCCGGGGCGCTGAGCGCGGAGCCCGTGGCTACCGGCCTGCAGGTGCGTGGCTGAAGCGTGAGGGGCACCTTGGGTCACCGAGGTTGCCCCATCCTCCAGGAAGAAAAGGGCTGAGTGGCAGAGGGGCGGGAAGGCCAGTCACAACTCTCTGGCTGAGTCTGGCATCCGTGTGTGCCAGGCCCTATGTCAGCCTCCGTGGGGTCCCCACATCCAGGGGACTCAGGCCTTTTTTAAGGGGGCTTTGCTGACGTGCTCCCTGACCACTGGGCTGCGGGTCCCTAGGAGGGACTCCCCAGGCATAGAAAGCCGGCATTTGCTGGGACAGCGCCCTTCGTTGGGACGGGGCAACAGGGGCCTTGCAAAGCCAGGCCCAGCACCCCCAGCGATAGGGGCAGTGGGTGGGAGGCAGTGGAGGGACCACTAAGTGTGCCTCAAGGCTGCACCTGATCTGACCGGCCCAGAGCCTCCTGGAGCCAGGATAACAGGGCTTCATTGTTAGTGGGCTGGCTTAGACCCAGAGCGTTGGTGAGGGTGGCCTGTCTGGACTGGGGTGCAGGGGCATGCTGAGGAAGGAGGGAGGGGGCTTCGGGCCCAGAATGACTCAGGCCATTTGCAAGGAAAGGGCTGGGCAGCCTGGAGAGAGCAGAGGCAGCCATGGAGGAAGGAGCCCCAACCCCCGTCCTCACCCCACTGTGGGTAGGGGTGTGTCCCCATACCCTCAGGCCTCCGAATGAGCACCATCTCACGCAGGGGCAGGGGCCAGGGGAGGCCAGGTGCATCGCAGTGATGGGCCCAGTCCTGCTCTGGGGCACACAGTCTCTGTTTGACCTTTGACACTCTGCCCAAGCCCTGTGGGCCTCAGTTTCCCCACCTGCAAAATAAGGAATACATTTCTACACAGCATCTCGCTCTCCTGGAGTACACGCTGCCTCCCCTCTCCCTTCCTGTCCAGGTCTACCTGGAGGGCCACCTGGAGGAGGACGAGGACCAGGAGGAGGAGGAGGAGCTGGGAGTCCAGGGGGACGGGCCGCTGGTGTTCCACCACCACTACCTGCCCTGTGCCCCAGCCCCCCTGGGCCCTCTGCTGCCCTGGCCTGTCCCTCTACTGCCTCTGCCCCACCTGCAGGCCACTCCCAGGATGCAGCACCTAGCTCCTGCCCCAGGGAGAAGGGAGGTGTAAGTGAGGCTGGGGCTGGGGTGGGAGGTCTACTCTGGTCTAGGACAGGGGAGCTCTGGGGACAACCCCCCAAGGCCATCTCTGGACCTCTGATAGGGTCTTTCTTCTCCCTCATTGCAGGAGAGCTGTGCCCCCACCCCCACCCCCCAGTGCCACAGGAACTGTGGGTGTGGATGTGCCCCCGGCTTCAGGTATGGGTCCAGGTGTGTGTGTGGGGGGACCGGACTGGGGAGGAGATCATGTGGCCAGAGAGGAGCCCCACATGCTCTGGGGTGGGGCTCCTACCTCAAGGGGATCCACTGAGGCAGAAGGGAGGAGAGATGAGGGTGCTGTGTCTCCCCCAGATTACTATGATGCCGAGAGCCTGCCGTGAGAATGGACACAGCCCTGCACTCAGGCCAGCAGTGTGTGTGTGGTGGAGGGGGTGGGGGGTGGGGGACCACCCTGCTCTCTCTGCTGTGCCTGCAGTCTTTTCTTCATGTCTGTCACCCATCAGTGCCCAGACCCCACTGGCCCCCTCTTCCCAGTGAACTGGTGAATCAGTTCCCACTGTACCTCCCTGACCCCCGACCCTGGCAGGCTGGCCCGTGCCCTGGGGTCAGAGCACCACCCAGGGAGCACCACCCTGGGCTTGAAGCCCAACTTGGCCTCACTGTTTCCTGCCGGGGAGTCAGCCCCACCCTCGCCTTCCCCCCTCACCCTGCCTCTGGGCTGACAGGCTGAGGTCTCCTGTGGCTTAGCAATGAATGACGTGCTGTGGAGGGAGCGGTGTGGTCTGTTATCCACAGCTCTGGGCGGGGTGGAGAGGGGAGAGGCCTGGCTGGAGAAGGCCCCGGGGCTGAGCCAGTTCCCTGAGGGCCCCACCCTCCCCCAGGAAGCTGGCTCTGCAGGCAGAAGAGGGAGGTCAGAGCTCTGTCCTGCTCAATCAGGAGTGCCTGGGCCCTGGAGGACAATGGGGACCGAGCACCCTTTTGGCCCCACTGGGCCAGGGTGCCTTTCCCCTACAGCCCCTCAGGAGAGTCCTCAGGGCTGGGTGGGAGGGCCCCAGGGCCTAGGCTGGCCAGGGTCTAGAAGGGACTGTGAAGGAGCAGTGGGAGGGAGGCTGAGGGCGAGAAGGCCCACCTGCTGGCACTGGGTGCCAGCCCGGGAGACACTGAGGGCACCAGGCTAAGTCCAAGTGTTTGTATTCAGGCTAGCGAAGGATGTGTCCCCAAGTCCTCTGCCGCTTGTCACACAGTTCTTCAGCTAAGGCTAAGCACCCTGAGGTCCAGAGGTGGCCGGAGCCCCACTGCTCATGCCTGCTGTGCCCGGTAGGCCTTGGGCAGTCTCCGCCAGGCCGCTCGGACCTGGTAGGCACCTGTCCTCTTCTGACGCCAGTGCTGGCCGAAGACAAAGCACAGCAGGACAGACATCACAAAGAGGAACAGCAGCACCGACACGGCGGCGATGATGATGACCATCTGGTTGTCCTGCAAGGGCTCTGGGGACGGAGGAGGCAGTGGTCTCAGAAGGCCTCTGGTCCCCGAGTCCCACCTGCCCCCCACTGGCCCACTCATCTGCGCTGCGTACTCTGTGCGCGGAGATGAGTGGGCATTGCAGTGTCCAGTCCCCCCAGTGTCCTCCAGAGTGGGCCAGGTCTCTGTCGGACTGCGAGGGCAGATGCCCACCTGCCTCCCACCCTGGGACAGCATGTGCTTGCTGGACACCACGGCCGGGCCGGGCCCTCCTCAGACAGAGCTAAGTCAGCTTCATGCCAAGTCCCCAAAGACAGGCCACCCAAAGTCAGGGGACAGCAGGGTGAGAGGGGTCAGTCAGGCCAAGCCCATCGTCGCGAGGAGCCAAGGCTATAAGGAGGAGCGTGACATGGTCAAGGTCATTGTCCCTGAGTGTACTCCGCTCACGCCCACCCCATGTGTGTCAGAGAGGGACTGTGGGCCACAGGAGTTTGAGGTGTCATGAATGGGCTTGAGCGCCTTAACCATTTGTATCACCCAGGGACTCTGGGTCAAGGTCACCCAGCTCGATCAGGGCCAACTTGTCTCCCTGTACTGGCCTCTGGAAGGGCCTTTGGCACTTGGGGAGCTGGGCTGGGGGTGTGGAACAGATAGAGTAAGCCTGGGGGTCACGCTTCAGTTAAATACAGAGGTCCTGTCCCTGCCTCCCAAGCCAGCAGCATGCAGGGCTCAGGGAGTTTCCCCTAACGGGCTGTGAGAGAAGGGCCCTCAGCCCGCACTCACCGTAGACCTGCAGCACCTGGGGCTCCGAGAAGCTGCGGAGGATGCCCCCGCCCTGAGCGCGCAGGTCCAACTCGGCCTGGCATGAGAAATTGTGATGGCTGTCCTCCCTGCCAGCCGTGATGCTCAGGGTGGCTGTGGCCTCTTGGGGGGCAGACGTCGCCCTGCCGAAGGTCTGATTGTGCAGGGGGTCCCTGCCACGGAGCAGGGTGAGGGTAAGGCTCTCGAGGGGCGCCACGGCGGGCACCCTGCACTCCATGGTGAAAGGTCGGCCCATGGCCACCCAGGTGGGCTGCAGCTTGAGCATCACTAGCTTTGGAGGGTCTGCAAGGGAGAGAGGATGGAGGCCTGGTCAGGATCGGGGCCCTGTGCCGGCAGTCCTGCCAGGGCAGGGCCATCTCTGCCACCCTGGTTGTTCTCTGAGCACCCCCAACTGGACTTGGGGGCAGGGCGTGGGCTGGGCCTGTAGAGGAAGGAAGCCCAAAGTCGTTCACAGGGAAGAAAGCCCTGGGTGGTGGCTTTTCTGACAAGATGATTTCGGGGATGGACAAAAAGGGAGCTGCCACAAAGGGGGAGGCTAGAGATGGTCCAGTACCCGGGACAATAAGAGCTTTGGACTCTCTCTCCCCTTCCCCTCCAGGGGTGAAACAGAAATGTGGAACAATGGAACAATCAGGTCATTTTATTGAAGGCTTGGCAGGAAAGAGCTTAATAGGCGAGTAATAGTGTTCCTCACTTAGAGGCAGGGCCTGGCATCAGACCACCCTTAGCCTCCCATAGCTACCGTGATTCCCTTTTGAACTAAATGCGCTGCCCCCAGCCCAGGATGCTAAGGAGGATTCCGGGCATCTTGCTCTTCTTTATCTGGTCTGAGGTTGCAGGGGGAAGGGATCTCACTGGTGCCGAAATAGAGAATTCCAATCCATTTGGAGGATTTTCAGGGCTCGCGGGCACAAGGCCTTTTTAAAGCGTTGTAGAGCAAGGCTGTAACTTTGAGGACTACGGTGAGCCTGACCCGAGCCATGGTCTTTTCAGTGTCCACATACACCTGTGAGAGCCGGACCTTGAACAAGGGAAACCGAAGTAGAATCGATGGGTTTGAATGATGGGGCTGGTGAAGAACCTCGAAAGGACCTTGGACGCCAAGAGGGCACACAGTCTGTCCTGGAAGAAGTTCAGCCAGAGTGCTCCTTGGAGACAAGGACAGAGAGATGTAGTCTCACGGGGCATGGCCACGCTGTCAGGAGAGACCAGTCCCTGGAGAAGGGCATCGTGCTTGGTAAAGTAGTGGGCAGTGGCAAAGAGGAAGGCCCTCCACAAGATGGGCCGGCACAGCGCCTGCGTCCGTGGGCTCAGACAAGAACCACTGTGGGGGTGGCTCAGGCCTGGGCGACATTTCGTTCTGTGGGACATCGGGCTGCTGTGACTTGACAGCCCCTGACTGTAACAACACGGGCTGATGTGTGTGTCACTGTCACACAGTTCCCAAGGGTCCACGGGGGAGGATAAAACACTGGCTGAGACCCCCGTCTGCACTGGGGCAAAGTGGCCACTGGAAGATTGGCCTAGGTCCCTTGAGGATGCCCCACTACGGGCCTGGGCTGCTCTGGTGAGGAAGCAGGGGCTGAGCTGGAAGGACACTGGGCACGCTATGTCTGAGAATGGCGTCTGGATCTGAAGCTACAGCTGGACTAGATTGGCTCCTCTGAGCCACCCTCCGGCGCGACCGTGGCCTGCCTCTGAGCTTGCCAGCAGACTCAGGGAGGCCCATGGAGAAAGCGGGCAGACTGAGCTGTCTGGCCTGCGTCTGACTCCGCGTGGCCTGGGCGCTCAGGGAGACTAACGCCACAGGAGGAGCGCGCCTAGGAGCAGAGACGGAGAGCAGCTTGGCCTCCATCCAACAGACCAGATGGGGTCCCTGCCAGAGGAGGCGCCGGGGCCCCGGCACTCACGGTACACGCTGACATTGGCCCCCTTGGACAGCTGTTTGCCGGCACAGGTGAAGTAGCAGTAGAGTGCCGTGTCCTCAGAGATGTTCGAGATCAAATACAGCTGCCACTGAGGCTGGCGGGCCAGCAGCACCTTGGGCAGGGGGGTCTCCAGACCACCCAGGTCCGGCCGCACGCAGTTGGTGCTACAGTTGACCTCCAGGGACCCACTGGGCTCGACCACCAGCTGCTCTGGCCACATGTTCACTTGAAACGCATCCTCGCTGAACCCTGAGAAACCAGAAGCACTGGTCAGTGGCCACTGGCCACAGGCGTCCCTCCTGTCCCACCCAGCAGAGCCGCCCTCAGCTGGCAGTCTGCTCAAGGGAGAGGGCCCAAGAAGAAAGGTCAAGGTGGCTCCCCACTTAGGCCCTGCCACACCACGAGGCTGAGGAGGCCGCCTCCCAGCACCCGGTGACCGAGACCATTTGCCTGACCAGCCCTCATTCCTCCGGACCGGGGAGGGGGTGGTGTTTCACTTTTGTTTTCCTTCAGCCGCAGGGCAGTGCCTCTGCTGCCTCCCACGGTCCCCCGGGCACCTTCGAAGGGCAGATAGGGGTCTGTCGGCACCTCTCCCCAAACCCCAATGTCCCTTCATCTCCTGAGGCCCAGCTGCTCACCCTTCCACCTCAACCTGCCCCATGAAGCTCTGTGCCTTCTTTCCTGGTGTCTGGGCCGCACCCTCCCCCATGCTGCCCAAGGCCGTGGGGACTGGCCATCACACTGCCTCAGCATCCTGCACCTGCCGTGCCACTGCCCGTAGGTTCAAAGTCTCGATGCCTTCCAAGCTGAGACATGCCACCCCCTGCCCCAACGGGAGTGGGGCAGCCTCACAGAGGGCCCGTCACTCCACCTTCTGGGCTGGCACGTACCAAGGCAGGATCCCCAAGCACCCACTCACCTGGGCAGCAGAGCAGGACAAGAAGGGCCGTGGGCAGGCCCCACCAATGAAGAGAGAGCATCCCAGGAGGTGTCCACGGGCTCACAGGGAACACTGAGGGCTTCCTGGAGGGAGAGAAGGGCACAGGTCAAGGAGTGGCCGCCGGGAGCTGGGAGCTACAACCCCAACCCCACCCCCTCCGCGCTCAGTGAGCTGATGACTGCATTTCCTCTCATTATCTGAGTGGTCTCCAGAGGCCACGTGCACCGGCCAGCTCCCTGCACTCTGAGAGTCCAGGCAGAGGAAGCCAGGAAGCAGCCATGATAAGCAGGAGAATAAAGGGGTGTGTGTGGAGGGACAGGCACACACATGGTCAAGTGTGTGCACACAGGACCCCAGCACATTGTGGATGCCTCCGTGTGTGCTCCTACCTCAGAGGAGGGGACCCTGAAAGGCAGGGTAGGGGTCCCCTCCGAGGTCACGACTTGCAGGGCAGAGGCAGGAAACCTGGGCAGGAACTGAAATTCTCAGCTGAATGCCCAGCATGGGGATATGCACCCACAGCTGATCGCAGCCCCTAGGTGGCACTGCAGCTCAGCTGGCAGAGGAAACCAACCCCACGGCCAAGCTGGGCCCAGGGGGGCCAGATGCCGAGTGAAAGGAGTCGACCCCCAAAGGGTAAATGTCATCAAGGCCATTCCCGTCAAAAGCCAAGCAGAGGGCTTCACACTCAGAGAATCATCCCAGCGGCAGCGAGAGGAACGGAGGGGAAGGGGCACGAGCTCACTGGGGCGCAGGGGAGGCGAGATCTACTGAGAGGAGTTGCCAACAATGATGGAGGCCATGGAGGCGCCGAGACGGGGGCCAGAGTTGAAGGCAATGGAATAGATGCTGTTTTGTACACAGCCCCGCAATAATGGTGGCCTGTGACTAGATGATGCCTGGGTAGACGCACCGGCTGGGTGGGCATAAGAGGGACAATGGGACTCTGTATCCACAAATACATGTAGGTCTGGCCACGGGTATTTCTATGTGCCCCAAATATCTCCATGAATGTGGAGGGGCCCACAGGGGGCAGGGCTATGAACATTTCTTCATATAGAACCAGATGCCTTAAGGTAACAAGTCACAAGGTTTGGGGGCTCAGTACCGTGCTCTTGGGGGCACCATGATCGCTCGGCACAAGGGCATCCACAAAGACAATGTTCTGTACTCTATTTATTGAGGGGCGATTGGAGTCTTAAGAGTGGGGAAAAATTGAAGAGGCACAGAAACCATGAGTTCAACGGATTAATGAGCCAGGTAAGCACCCATCTCTTCAACACGGAGACCAGAAGACCTAGATGGTACCCGGCAACTCCTACCAACTGCTTTGGTGCTCACACTAGAAGGTCCTAGAACAGCAGTTCTCAGCCTGTGGGTCGTGAGCCCTTTGGGGGTCGAACGACCCTTTCACAGGGGTCGCCCGATTCATCACAGTAGCAAAATGACAACGATGAAGTAGCATCGAAAATCATTTTATGGTTGGGCGTCACCACCACCTGAGGAACTGTATGCAAGAGTCGTGGCATTAGGAAGGTTGAGAACCACTGTTCTAGAGAGAGTGGAAGAGAAATGTAGAACAAAATGTACTGAATTCAAAATTCAGGATTACTGCTCTGATAGCGACTGCTGGGACACCAGGGACCGTGCCTTGGGGGTCAAAGGGCAGCATGACCCTGTGGGGAGGGCCGTCAGTGAGATGAAGCAAAAGGTACATGAAGAGCTGGATGGAAAACTGGGGGTCTGCCCTGGAAACGTTCACCTGATTCACAATAAACAAGACCCCAAGTCAGCCCTCCTCATAGCACCCTGTGGGACAGAAGAGAACTTCCAAGACTGCAGGTCTTATGGAAGCAGGTGGGTGCATCTTCCTTCCACGGAGCGAATGGTGGGTTCAACTGCGGACCCTTCCGTTGGCATCAGGGTGCTACACACTGTGCTCCCAGAGTGGCTGTTTGAGCAAAAGAAGGGACGAGTCGAGGTGTGGTGTTGGATCCATTGGGTACCCATCTGGCGGAAAATGGACCCCTCCTCACACCACGTACTGAAATCACTTCCAGCTAGACCCGTGGTTCTCCACCTTCCTCATGCCACGGCCCTTGAGACAGCTCCTCATGTGGTGGTGACGCCCCAACCATAAGATTATTTTTGTTGCTACTTCATTACTGTCGTTTTGCTACTGTTAAGAATCGGGCGACCCCTGTGAAAGGGTCTTTCGACGCTCAAAGGGGTCGCTTAAAAATATTTTAAAAATTCAAAGAAAAGAATACATACCTAAATGGATGAGACGGATGCTGACACCCAGTAAGAGGAAAATTCAAATCACACTGGGGTACCCTTTCAGAACCACAAGATTGGTAGAGCTTAGGAATTCTTAAGAAGGCCCTAATTAGGCATTAATCTTGTAGAGCTGAATATTCTGGTACTCTTATTGCCAGTCCTTGGAGAAGGACATCAGGCCTGGTTAAGTACAGGGTCAGGAGGAGGAAGACCCTCCGTGAGGAAGCCTGACCCTCTGGCTGCAAGCATGGCTCCACTTGACCCACAGCTGGAGGATGGGGAGGACCAGGCCGGTTTCACTCCACGGATCAGAACCAACTCAGCAACACCCTACCACAGCCATGGCCCGCCACTCCCCTCCTAGATCCATGTCTTTCACAGAAATGTGCCCGAAGTACTGTCCGGTCCTGGCCAGTCCTTGCTTCTTACTATCTGTGCAACCTTGGTGTCCCTGAAGGTGCAAACAGTCAACGTGGGAGCTGATGAGGCATTGGAGTGTCAAGGTCAAGTCCACCCAGAGGCACTTTGGAAGAAAGGATCAACAGTCTACTACTTCTGAAAAACCAGCCACTGAGAATCCGAGGAAGCACACAGTTCCACTTTGAAGCACACGAGGTCACTATGCATCAAGCGCTCGTTTTGTTACCTGCAGAACCTTGGCAACAGATAAGGAAGAGCCGTGAACAATAGATGGATTTGCATGACAGCGTTGATGGAAACTACTGAAGCCACCACGGATAGCCGGGGGAAAAAGATCAATCTGCCTCAGAGGAAACACAGCGAGAAGGCTCCTTAGAAGCAAGATGGCAAGACTTTGTCTCGTCTACTTTGGGCCTGGTACCAGGAGAGGCCAGGCCTCAGAGGATGACATTGGGCCTCGTAGAGAGAGTCTTTGGAGAAGTGGAAGACCTTCGAGGAGATGGATGGACGCAGGGGCTGCAGCCGTGGGCTGGACTCTAGGCACCGTCGTGAGGCTGGCGCAGGACCGGGCGGTGTTGTGCTGTCCATGGGGCACTTGGGACTGAAGCTGATTTGACTGCGCCCCCGAACAAAAACTTTGAGCAGGTCATGCTGTTTTCCTGTGTCTCCGTTCTCTCTCTCTCGTACCTTGAGTTTCATCCCTTTCCGATCGGGCTGTTGTGTGAATCAAATGAAGTTCGCGATTGAAAGCATTTAAATGACGGACCCAAGACCACGCCCACCGAACTGAGGCTGACCCACGGCGACTCTGCCCCCCAGGGTTTCCGAGACTGCAAGTCGTTGGGGGAGTGGACAGCCTCATCTTTCTCCTGCAGAGCAGCTGTTGGATTTGAACAGCCAACCTTGCAGGTAGCAGTCCCAGGTCTCGTTAACACCGTGTAGCTCTGTTATAAACCAGAACTAAAGAGGCACAAGGGTATGGTGCTGGTCAGGCCTCTGTGGACTCGTAGCCGCCATGTGATGAGGGAAACGCTCCATGAGGTCCCAGGTTGTGACTCTTACCCTGGTGAAGACCTTCCGCGACAGTTCTATCCCTCGTCTCGGGCCAAGACAGACTTTTCAGGAGCGATGACCGTCTTTCTCTCTTCTCACTGGGTGGGTTCGAACTGCCAACCCCTCAGCTGAGCGCTTAATTGTTGTGCCTCCAAAGTTCCTTCCTCGTGTGATAAAGCACCAGAAAAACAAACAAACAGACAGACAGACAAAGGAGAATCAAGGAGACAATATAAATTCAGGGTGGAGGTTATGACTCGGTAAGAGGCAAGGAGCACAAGGGGCGCTGTAACGCTTAGCGACATTTCAGCCTTGCGTAGAAGGGTCAGTTAGCAGTGTCCCACGCATGTCGGTGCTTAGAGAGGGGCTTCCAAAAGTGTGAGGGGAAGTCCTCTTACCTTAGAAGTCCATTTTCCCAGACTTCTGGGAGCTCCCTCGGATAATGTACATGTGCTTCACATGCTTTTTTAAGATGTCATAGACCCTGTGGTTATGGGTCAGTGTCTACCACATCCCTGCCGGAGCCCTGATGGTGTAGTGGTTCTAAAGTAGGGCTTTGATCCGCATGGTCGTCAGTTCAAAGCCACCTGCAGCTCCAGAGGAGAAAAGCCTGGGGATTTCTACTCCTGTAAACTGTTACAGTCTTGGAAACTCACAGGGGCCCCCCGCGAGTCGGTACTGACTCGATGGCAGTGAGTTTCGTTTTTGTTTTTAATCATGCACCTGAGGGGCACAAAGGGTTCACACCTCCCCATTGGTGCCAGGCAGCAATCTGCTCCGTGAAGATCTGGAGTCGCTCCGCCCCGTACCACACAGGGCTGGCACGAGTCAGAGTCCCCTGGGTGGCCATGGGCACCTCATTGTTGACAAGGGAATGAAGCAGGAAAAGAGAGAAGTCATCGGACTACAGAAATAGTGACCCCCCCCCACCCCGGGGTTGTGTGTCTGTTCCTGCGGATCGCGACCCCTGTAAACAACAGAACAAAGAGCTGCCCGGAGCTGGACCATCCTCACAGCTGTTCCTGTATCTGCCCCACGGGAATCACTCTGGCATTCCGTGGACCTTCTGCTGGATCAAGCCTGGTGCTTTTGGCAGGAACTAGTCCCTCCCGATGATCCCCACTCCCAAAGGGCATCTGGCTGCGCTTTTTCCAAGACCAATCGGTGTGGTCTCCCAGCGCCGGTGGCACATGCATGGTCCTTCGCCAACACCACGATCCGGTGACATCGATGTCTCTTCCACTCTCCTTATTCATTGCCAGCGTGCACAGGCTGATGAGGCATCTCAAAGTGCTGTGGTGAGGGGCAGGTGCACCTTAGTCTTCAAAGGGCCATCTTAGCTTTTTAAAAAGAATCATTTTATTGGGGGCTCTTACAGTTCTTATTACAGCCCATTTATACACCTATGGTGTCAAGCACATTTGTGCAATTGTTGCCATCATCATTCTCAAAACATTTGCTTTCTCCTTGAGCCCTGCGTATCAGCTCATTTTCCCCCTCCCTCCCTCATGAACCCTTGATAATTTATAAATTATTATTCTCTCATGTCTTACACTGACCAATGTCTCCCTTCACCCACTTTTCTGTTGTCCGTCCCCCTGGGAGGGGGTTTTATGTAGGTCGTTGTGATCGGTTCCCCCTTTCTCCCCCAACTTCCCCCTCTGCCATCTCTGCTTTTTAACACGTTGAAGAGAGGTCTTTTGCAGTGGATTTGTGCCATGCGATACAATATGTCATTTGAAGTCCTTGCGGCTGCTTCCACGGGCATCGGTTGCAGATCCCTGACAGTTTCGATCTGTTTATAGGATGCTGCTTATTGGTCCGCGGTGAGGACGCTTGGTTTCTCTGCGTTGGGCGGAATCTATCAGGAAGGCGGCCTGGCCTTGGGTCAGGAAGGGCTTCCGGGCCTTTTGGCAAGGCTGTGCTATCTGCACACCGCAAGTTGTCAGTGAGGCTTGCTCCGATCCCGAAGCCCGGATGTTCTTCAGCCCGCCTATGCTCGGATGATCCCAGATTGAATACACACGGTGGAAGGATTCAACCCTGACACACCTTCTCCGAGGTTAAACCTGACACGACGCTCCTGTTCTTTCTGGCTGCCTCCAAAATCTTACCTATAGTTTCTCGGAAAGGCTACATTTTACTTGAATTGTTACCTTTTTGCAGACCTCAATAACACCCCTGCCTACTTCTTATCTTTAGACGAGCATGCTTAGCAGGACTCACACCTGTTAGATGTGTTCCGGTAAGTCAGAGCATGAGTTAGTCTCTTCAATCCTTACCCTGAAGCACACCACCTGGTGAGAGGGAGGCTCCACAGCCTCATTTTTTTGGGAAGGAATTTGTCAGGTTGAGCAACATCCCGGGATGGTAAATTCCATTGCCCATATGAATCTTGCCAAGTTTCAAAGAGGTCAGCAAATACAATCTTGCATATATATATATATGTATGTATGTATGTATGTATGTATGTATAATATGTATTTAGTTTGAAGAGGGAGACTCCTCCACGTCTAGAAAAAAAGCACGATCACGGAGTCAGAAAACACCCCCGTCCCCCAGCTGACGTGGATCACTCCTGGCTGAGTGAAAGACCCTCATGGGGGTGGAGACACAGCCCAGGTCACCTGGCGCCCAGTGGGCACGGCTGGTGGACAAGATGGCAGCCACACTTTTCCAAATCAGTCACCCTGAGAGCAGAGTGGGGTGAAGCGGACAAGAAGCAGGAAGGTGGGGCGGGGACAGTTGGAGCCAGAGGTCTCCCAGACACATTCATCTGGAAAGAGACTGGGACCCTGAGGCCCAGCGAGGGGCAGGGACTGGAATTCACACAACTCCCAAGCTGCCAGCTGGGACGCAGGCCCCCCCCACCCCGGAGCAGCATCAGCTTACCCTTGGAGGCAAAGCCCCCGCGAGGAGGGAGGGAGGAGGAGGAGGAGGAGGGGTGCTGTGGAGTCCAGGCCCGGCCTCGGCCTCCTGGAGGCGGTGACCCCTGAGATGCGCTCCTGGCTGCTGCGTCTGAGCTGGCCGCCACCAGCGAGATGCGTTTGTTATTGACGGCTTCCTGCGTCTGTCTCCCACTCAGGCAGGAGTCACGTGCTTCCTGTGTCCTGCCTGCTCACCCGCCCAACTACCCTCACGTTCGTTCAACCCTCCATCTCCCCCCACCCCTCTCCACGTGGGCACTCATCTCCAGCATCCGGTTCTGAAACCGTTGATCACGGCAAACCGAAACTCTCGTGTTCATTAAGCAACAGTTCCCCATCCGGGCTCTCCCAGCCTCCAGTGACCACAGTCCCTGTCTCTAGGCATGTGCTTGTCTTAGGCGGTCCTCTTTTAAAAAACAAACAGTTGCCTTCGGGTCGGTTTGGACTCAGCGTGAGGCCCCGTGGGAGCGTACGACCCTGCTCCTGAGGGTGTCAGTGGCTGGGCTTCTCAAAGCGCATCTCCAGGCCTTTCCTCTGAGCGGCCTCTGCGTGGACTTGACCCTCCAGCCTTTGGGCTAACAACAGAGAGTGTATCAGACGCACCCAGAGGCCCATTTCATCTTCAGAACTCACGGCCATCGAATCCATTTCAGCTCCTGGCGACTGCCCCTGTGGGTTTTGAAGACTGTAACTCTTTATGGGACTAGAAAGCCTCATCTTTCTCTCACGGAGCGGCTGGTGGTTTCAAACTGCTGTCCTTGCAGTTAGCAGCCCAACATAACCACTACGCCACCAGGGTTCCACAAAGAAGCAGAAAGCATGGAAGTTAAGGACAGAGACAGCTCCTGGACAGCCAGCTAGGCTCACCTGGAAACGGCGAGGCTCGCTCCCAGAGGCTCCCCAGGCAGGCCCCCAGCAAAGCTATAGGTCAGGCCGGGACCACAGAAGAGTCAGTGGACACTGAGGGTCTGCCGGGGCCTGGAGCCATTCCTTGTGGTCGCTTGTGCCTCTGGTCACAGAAGCTGATTTGGGAGCCTCCGGGCGATGCCCTAGTGAAACAAAGCCAATGTTGAAGTTGGGGGCGGAGCATCAGAGCTCTTTAGGGGTCTGTGGCACCTTACAGTTCCGATAGCATCTGTCAGCTGTGTAAATTAAGTGGTTGTCCGGCCCAGTGCAGCTGCCATGAGTGGGGATGGTTGCTTTTTGTGTCCCAAATACTGTACACACACATGTGCATCTCTCTGGGCAGGGCAGTGGGAAGGAGGTAAGAACGGGACACAGTACAAAGGCTGGGAGGTGGGGACGCACTTGTAGTTTTCTTTGCCTACGCGTTTTGCTTCTCTGGACAGGTTGAGTCTTCACCATTTTGTCTTGTAAATGGTAGCATTTTCGTGACTTCCTTCCCAGCGCTCTCTTGGTTCGTGCAGGGATCAGTGTTTTGGGTTGGTTCATCTTGTGCCTCCCCCCACCCCCACCCCCATGGCCAAATCTTTCCGTCAGTTCTAACAATTTTCTTACGAGTCTCTGTGGTTTTGTGTGCAGCACCACGTCATTTTGCTTCTTGCTTGCCCATCTGGATGCCGTCCGTCCATTTCTTTCTGGTGTCTAATGGCTCTGGCCAAGACTCCAGCACACTGTTGAATAAGGTGGTAATAAAAGGGCATGTGTGTCTGGCTCCCGTTTGCAGGGGGGAATGCTTTCAGTCTCTTGCCATTGAACTCAGTCTTGGCTCTTGTGGCCTTTACTGTGTTCAGGAATTTCCCATCTCTTCCTATTTTGTTGAGTGCTTTTATCCGGAATGGGTATTGCATTTTGTCACATGCCTTTGTGTATCAGCTCACGTGATCACGTAGGGTTCCCTCCGCTTTGGTTAATATGGTGGACTACATGGATTGCTTTCTCGTGTTGAACCATCCTTACAGGGACCTCCAGGGTTTGTTACATATGTGGTTACCTGTAATTAGTGGTGGATGGGGGAATGCATGCCCCAAGAATATATGAGCTAATGCTGGGAACACATTCTCTCTGCACGGATCTGGCTCCTGAAGTCATGGCGGAGGGGGCACCCCCAGAAGTTTGTGTTTCTTAATTTCTTCCCTGCAATTACACAGCCGTCCCTTAGAGCCCTTTCTGGATGTGAGTCTGGAGCTTTCCTGGGTGAGGTGCCCCTGGATGGGGTGTCCCCTGGGTGAAGTGTCCCCTGGGTGAGGTGACCCTGGGTGAGGTGTCCCTTGGGTGAGGTGCCCCTGGGTGAGGTGTCCCTGGGATGAGGTGCCCCTGGGTGAGGTACCCCTGGGTGAGGTGCCCCTGGGTGAGGTATCTCTTGGGTGGGGTGCCCCTAGGTGAGGTGTCCTTTGGGTGAGGTGCCCCTGGGTGAAGTGCCCCTGGGTGAGGTGCCCCTGATTGAGGTGCCCCTGGGTGAGGAGTCCCTTGGGTGGGGTGCCCCTGGGTAAGATGTCCCTGGGGTGAAGTTCCCTCTGGATGAGGTGCCCCTGGGAGGGTGCCTTCGAGGTCAGGGCTGCCAGTGAGTTGATTCTGACTCCAGACGACCCTGTGTGTCTCGCTGTATTCTTAACGGAAACAGACCTCTCTCCCGTGGCACCACCGGGTGTCTTTGAAGCACCAACCTCGAGGTTAGTGGGCAGTTGGACCACGTCACTCAGGCAGGGGCTTAGGTGGTGAGGGTACCTCCAGGGCAGCCTACAGGCGGGAGGGGCTCCCGCTCACTCACTGCCCGCTTCGAGGCTCCGCCCCTGGCCCCCAGCCTGCAGGTCCCCTCTTCAGTCCCATGTACCTGAATTTCTCATGGACCCCTCCCATCTCCGCCCCACCCACGTCCCTCATCTCTGTGCTTTGACTTGGACGTCAGTGGGAGGGCGGCAGGGGCACCAAGCTGCCATCTTGAGACACTGAGTCTTTTAGGAAAAAATTCTCAAAAGGCCCTGGGACTTTTCCAGGGTCAGGCACAGAAGGGCTAGAGCCAATCTCCGGACCAGGACCAGCCCCCCCCCCCCGGCTTCAGCTTCCTCCCAGGAGCGGCCCCAGCCAGCAGCATGGCAGGCTCACGGGCTGGGCTCACCCTGCCCTGCCGACTCAGGGTGCTACCCCTTCCTTTGCTGGTGTTTGCAGCCGTCCCCCATGCCCGTGTGGGTGCAGCTCTTCCGTGCCCCCACCCCTTCCTGTGATGGGCACAGCCCATTCCCACGGCTGGTGGCAGGAGCCACTGGCCTTACTTGTAGATTCTTATTTGGGAGTGAGCTTCCTGCAGCCTCTCCCCCAAAGAGCTCTTTTCCTGCCCCATCAGGATGAGGACCTTTGTTAGGGCCCGACTCACTACCTCACAGCGCCTGGGTCAGGCTGCAGGGCAGCACAGAGGGGTCTCAGCCACATGCGGGCCTCCCGGCTGCAAGCACCCCACCCCTCTGCCTCCCAGGTCTGCAAGCCCCGGCCCAGCCCGGCTTCCAGCGCGAGGGCTACGTAGGAGCGCTGAGGCCACCTGGTGGCCTGAGGCGGGAACAAGCGCCCAGGACCCGGAACGTCGGGCTTGGCTCTCCCTCCGACTGGACTGTGCAGGAGACCCAGTGCCTCAGCGGGTGCTTGCTGTCCTCACTGACACTCAGGCCCGTGGAGACCTGCGGGGCGGTCCTAACAGGGCAGAGGCCCACTCTCATGGCAGTCCTTGCTAAGCGGTCCCGGCCGGGCGGGCTCCCTCAGCACCCCACTGTCAGGGGACGCTGCCCTGGGTGCAGGGCAGTTTGGAGCCCAGGAGAAGCCACTAGAAAGGGGCAGGGCTAGGAAGCAGCCATGGGCACTAGGAGAGGGCGAGGCCAAGACAAGCGGGCTGAGTTACCTGAAGACACTCTTGCCCAGGGCCCTACTGACTGTCCCATCAACCAGGGGCCATTGAGCCCCACGGGTCGGAGTGGAACTGTGCTCTGGGGGGGTTTCAAGGGCTTGTCTTTCAGGAGTAGATCTCCAGGCCTTTCTTCCAAGGCCCCTCTGGGGGACTCGAACCTCCGACCTCTCCGTTAGCTGTGCTGGATGTCCTGTTTGTTGTCCACGTGCCAGACTCCACCGGTGCTGAATCCCACCGTGCGATACGCCTGTCCCCACCTGGCCGTCTTCCAGAAGTGTGGCCCAAAGGAAGCCCTCTAGGAATTCCTCGGAGCCCCAGGTCAGTCGTCTGAAACCAGGAGCTGCTCCCTGGGAGAAAGATGTCTTTCTACTCGCATATGGATTTAGCCTGGGACACCCAAAGGGGCCGTTCCTCCCTCTCCTGTGGGGCCGCTGAGAAGCAGAACCCGCTCCCAGCTGAGTTCTCACGGGGAACTTCCTGCTGTGCTGCCAATCATTTCCCCACAATAGGCCACCGGGGGGAAGCTCCAGCCCACCGGCCTGGCAGGGGCCAGGGCCAACCCCGTCATTGCACCTGCTCAGTCAGGGGCTCCGCCCTCACCACTCAGGACCTCTCCCCGGGACCCCTGGTTGGACCCCGTGCACGTCAGTGAGAAGACGAGTCTGACTTCCAAATCTAAAACTACTTTTATTTGTGATTGGCTCAACATGACATCATCATGGGTCAGCAGAATTATAAAACTGTACAGGAGGTACAAAAATATGCCGTTCCCTTTGGTAACGACCCTCACATCATCAAGCTTAAAAAATACACATAAAAGTTGTACAATCTGGCGGTTTATAAAATAGAAAGCTAGAAAGAGGATTCCAGGATTGCTACGACAGAGTTCACACCAAACTCCACGAAGGGCCGTCCACGGACAGGACACAGGCGTTTTAAAAAACACAAGTCACCTAAAAATGAACATTTTCGCCCCACCAAAGGCGTTCCCCTCCGGGGGAGGCTACAGTATCACATTTCCAGCTTCTAAGTGGTCAGCGGTGCCCGGAGCTGGCCTGGTGTGCTTTGGACGGTGCCCTCGTGTGTGTGTGTGTGTGTGTGGGGTGCACTGCGGCATAAACATTAAATAAATATAAATAGGGTCAATAAATAGGGCGTGGCGGCAGGGACACGGCACGAGGCTTGCTCTGCGACCGCGGTGCGGTGCGGGTGACTGGGAATGCTTTCCAGGCGGTGGGGTGCCCCGTCACAGCTTGTGGGGTACTCACAAAGAACACTGTATCCGCCACCAAACACAGAGTGTGGGGAGGGCCGGGCTTCGGCCGGAGGCATTAGTTAAGGCTCCTCCAGGCGCGAGGCCCACGAGGAGCTTCCGTGGGCAGGAGGACACAAGGGCAGCGGCACGGGGCGGGCAGCGGCCTCTGGGGAAGCCAGCTAGAGGGAAGCCTCGGGCACGGAGAGTGCAGACACTTCGGTTTAAAAGGCGACGGCCCATGCAGGGTGGCAGGCCCTCTGCCTGCCTGCTTTTTGGGAACCCTGGGGACTTTCTTGGGGCAAAGTCAAGGCCAGACTGGCGAAGAAAGGGCAACGAGGAGAAACGCCGGGCGATGCAGAGAGCAGCAGTGTCAGAAACACAAAGAGCCGGCCGGGGAAGCTGGGCCAAGCCGTGCGGACAGAGGGGCCCGCCTTCCCGATGGCCGAGCGCGCGGAGCTGGCCCAGTCCCAGCCAGATGGAGGCTGGGAACCTGGTGCAACGGAGGCGCCTGAGAGGAGAACTCGCGAGCACAGACACAGAACACGAGGCCTCCCAGGAAGGGGAGGGTGGGGCTGGTGCCCACAAGGGGCGGGAGAAATACTCTGGCTGGTGGACCTTCCAATACAATGTGTGTCACTGGTCAGAGTGACGGACGTGCCACTGGACAGCGCCTGTTGATGACTGTTGCCCGAGGAAACGCCTTTGCCCAGGACTTTGGGGTCTGCCCACAGGAGGGTCGGTGTCCAGCGCAGGGCGGGGAGTCTTCCAGAGGCTCCACAAACAGTGAGAGGCCCAAAGGCAGGCGTGCGTTCCTGTGTCCCCAACAGATATGAACTGTCTTCAAAACGAAGACAAGGACCTCTCAGGACCTGCACACGGGCAGTAGATGCCCAGCAGCACAGGGAGGACAGGACACACGATGTCTCCCTCAGACCGCTGCCCACTGCTGTGGGGTGACAGGCAGTAGGCTTCTAGAAAATAGCAGGGTATGGACAGAGGGGATGTCGCCCAAGGTCTGACTCAGGACAAGGCCCCCACCAGTTCGCCCGAGCTACGGAGGGATCGAGTGGCTGGGTTCTAGGGGGTGATGGACAGGAATCCGGCAGCAGGTGGACGCTGGGGCAGCCCGTTTTAAGGCAGAAGCCAAGTGTGCCTCCCCCACACTAGGGTTTTCCTCGCTGGGCCGGCATTGTATCGCTGTCTCCCACAGGACACACTTAGGAAGGCAGGGCCTTGGCCTTCACCCCCGCTGCACTGGATGGCCGAGTCAGGGAAGGGCGGGTGCTTGGGGACTGACGAAGAAAGAAGCTCCCCCAGCGGCTAACTGGGGGTGCCGCCAACACTGAGCAGCCAGTTTGCCTGGCTGCCTCTGAGAGAGGGAGTCAGCGATGGGGACGTGTGTGACAGTGGCCCTGTAGCAGGACAGAGCGCGCAGCCCCGGGAGGTCACATGTGGCACTTTCTCCACCCTTGGACCCTTGCTCGGGGCTCCCGGGGACGATGGGGCCTCCATGTGAGGTGGGGAAGACCACCTGGCAGTGTTCCTGGAGAGGAGACATCCCCTGGGCTCCAGGGGGAAGTGAGGTTTAAAGACAAGGCTTAAAGCTGGAGGTTCTGGAGAAGGGAAGAAAGGGCGGGCTTCCACCTGAGCCCAAGAAGAGCCCTCCCTGGGTGAGCGAGGCCTGAGAGAATTGCACTGGGGAACCGTGGGAGAGGAAGCAGTGGCAGTGGTCTGGGGCAGCCAGGATAAACCTGCCTGCGCCCTCCTCCCTCTTACCCCCTCACAGGCACCCTGTGTCACCCTCCAAGGCTCTCGGTAGAGGAGAGACAGCGGGGGTGGGGGTGGCACTGGAACAAGCGCTCCAAATCTCAGTAGCTTCAGGAAACGTTGACAGGGATTGGCGTCATTAGAAAGCATTACTTGGGGGTTGCCGGGTACGACTCTCTGGTGCTGCTGTGTGTGACTCCGGCGGGAAGGGCTCTTGCTTGGGGGAACGGGGGGCTTTGGTGCTCTAGCCACTCAAAGTGGGAGACGTACTGCAGCGCACAGCTCGTCCTCATGGGTCAGCGGAAAGTGTTTACCTTACTTACAGCTAAAGTAGAATTCTACAGCTTGATCAAAATATAGAGTTATTAAAATTTGCCAAGAAAACCGTAAAAGCCTAAGTGCACAGTGACCTTGGCCTTGGCCCCAACTTGCTGTGCATGCCCTTTCCTGCTGGTCTTGCCACCCACCAGCTGGCTCAGGGCTCCTGGGTGGCCTTGAGGGTCCAGCTCAGCCTGCCTGCTGCAGTTCCGAGGCCTGTCCCGTCTGTCCCCAGGCCACTGCTCAGGCCACCAGTGTGCCAGGCAGCCCTCAGCTGCCTTCAGAACAGTGTCCTCTTGGTGCCTGAGAGAAATCTCCAGAAGTGAGCCCACCTTCTAGAACGTACCGTGGACCCGTCTGGTCTGCGCCGCGGCCCTGCTCAAGGTGGGCTAACAGGGACCCGGGCTCATGGGGGGATGGCGGTGGCATCTCCCCTCCCCAGGTGCCCTCCTCTTCCCGGGCGTCCTTCCCTCTCGTGCCCCCCTTGGAGGGGCGGCCTGCGGCATGTCCTCAGCCTCCCTCCTGGTCCAGCAGGTTGGCAGCACCCCGGATGGCGTCCTCTCCCTTCCTGAAAGGCTGGCGTCACACAGGCATGGTGGAAGGAGGAAAGGCTGACACACTCATCCAGCAGGATTCGGGACGAGCCCTCCACTGTGGACAGCCAGCTGAGGGCAAGGTGTGCTCGGCCCCTTCCTGGGCGCGCGCGGTCCTCTGCTGGCTCACGCAGCGGCATCTCAAGGCACTTGGTTGGGCTGCCTGGTCTCCCTGCCGAGCCGGGAGGCGGCGCCCCTGGGTTACAGAGGCCAGTCCCTCAGTCTAGCTGGGGCTGTGCATAGAGGGGCATCTGTCCTGACTCAGGGGGCGCTGCCGGGAGGCAGGGGGGCTGGGGGTCGGGGGGCTGCTGGCAGTAGTAGGGCTGGAAGAGCCTCTCGTGGCGGCAGAGCCCCATGGCCCGGTAGGTGTGCGACAGGAGGTGGGGGAAGCGGGCTGTGAAGTAGCGCACAAAGTCCTCGGGGATCGAGCCCAGCGTCTCGCGCACCTCGGCAGGCAGCTCGCGGTAGTGATGTTTCTGTGGACGGCGGGCACACAGATGGGGGTGAGCCCTGGGGGCACCGGGAGGGGCGGGCAAAGGGTCTTTTCTTAGGTACGGGAGATGGAACCCGAGTGAACTGGCGTCTCCTGAAGAAGAGGAAGGCAGGTTCCCACAACTCCACACCCCGATCTGGCGGGCGCGGTCTCCTGCAGGCAAGGGCCCGCCAGCCCCAGAGTGGTCTGCAGGCAACAGACAAGCTGTCTGCGGTGGCCCAGGACTGGAGGGTTCCCCCCGACAGGCTTTGAGCCCCTTCAGTGGGGGGAGGGGTGTGTGTCTGTGTGGAGGCCACTAGGTCATAGCACAGGCAGACAGCAGAGCAGGCCAGGCCCCTCTGGACAGTAAGGAGACCCCTGACCTAAGGCCTTGTGTGGGAGGTTACCCTAGACCAGTGGTTCTCAACCTTGCTAATGCCTCGACCCTTTCATACAGTTCCTCATGTGGTGGTGACCGCCCCCAACCATAACATTATTTCATTGCTACTTCATCACTGTCATTTTGCTACTGTGATGAATCGGGTGACCCCTGTGAAAGGGTCATTCACAAAAACAACCAACCCCACTGCCATCGGGTTGACTCGGCGGAGCTGTTCCCTGAGGTGTCCACAGCTGTCGGTCCTTACAGAAGCACCTGCCTCTTCTTTCTCCCAGTGGGGGGCTCATGGATGCCAAGGGAAGACCTCCTGGTCAGCAGCCCGATGCCTGGCCAGCTGCACGGCCGGCCAGACAGACAGGTCTGCCGTGAGTAGCCATGGAGGGCAGGCAGGGCCCGGAGAGATGCTTTCACAGAGCTGAATGCCTCACCCAGGGGCCTGAAGAGGGCCCTTAAGCATCCAGTCTGACTGCCGGCCCAGCCCAGCCCGTGTGAGTGTGTGAGTGTGTGTGTGTTATGCGCACGCGCATACTAGCAGCTACTGCTCCCCACACCCCAAAACCCACAGCCCCTTTACCTTATTTCTCATGGCGCGGAGGAGATCCCGGACAGAGCCCCCCTTGTAGGTCCGGAATTTGCGCAGATCTAGGGGAGAGGGCAAAGATCAAAGAATGCAGTGGTTGGCACGTGGCAGATCAGAAGTGTGGGGCCTGGGGCCTGGGGCCGAGAGGGCTCAATCCAGCATTCAGCCTGAGAGGCACCGGGACACCCCCCCACCCCCAACAGAGCAGCACACCCAAATCCCACCTCTGCCGCAGCCTTGGTCAGAAACGACCACATACTTTTCCAAACCCAGCAGGACACCTATCTCACACACGGCACCCCAAGGAGCAAGAGCGTGACAAGATTAGCGTGCCGGCACCGCAGCTCCCGATTCCCTCCTGCTGCCACGGGCTCCAAGCCTGGGGGTGTCAGCGCGGTCACCTGTTTGGAGGGGGACGGTGATGTTCTCCCGCCAGTCCATCTTCACCACGGCTCTCCCGCCTCGCTCCAACTGCTTCACGATCGGGCCGTCCAGGGCCTCCTTCTCGATCCGGTCGCTCACGTCCTGAGAGGGGACAAGGGCTCGGGCTCTAGAGCTGCCCATGGGGGGGGGGGGCCCACAGCAGCATGTCCTGCTCTCTGGGCTGTCTGTCTCAATCTCTCTGACACACACACACACACGCACACACACACACACCACGTGCTACCAGAGCCACGTTGTACGTTACCTTGGTGAGTGAACCAAAATAATATGCTCAAGCTCATAACTGCTGGCAAGTTGCCACTTCTCCTGTGAACCTCAGAAGGGACAGGTGAGCCCAAGGCTTCCCTGCAGGTGGCCAAGCTCTGCAGGCCCAGGGCTCACCCTTCCCGAGCGAGCACTGGCTCCGACCAGCCCTCGGCAGTCAGAAGCCAAGCTGAGGAAGCAGCGAGCGAAGGTTGGTGATCGCTTGCTGGGAGCAGTCTTATGAGACGTGTCGTTTTCTCTTGCCCTGATAAAGCAGAGCCAGAGCGCACTAGCTGAGCCTCTAACTGTCAGGGAAAGCCTGGGACTGGGGCCAGACGGTTGACTCAGGCACACTGGGGACACGCTTCTGGCTGCAGGGTCATGAATTAGGGCTAGCTGATAACGATGGAAGCCAGGAGTGTCTGCAGACATAGACGGGGAGCCTGTGGATGGGCGTCCTAGCCCTAGCTGCAGTCAAGGGCGGGCCTCTGGTGCCAGGTTATGCTTGTTCTGTGCTTTGTCTCCCCTGGAGACAGCGAGGCTGCAGAATGGTACCGTGAACTTCTCTCGCTCAGAGCACAACGAGCCATCCGGGTACTGTTCCCATACCAACTGGTTACCACGGGAACCGCATCAAATCCCCCCTCTGCCTGATCCATCCACATAGATACTAAGCACCCGCCAAGTGCCAGACGGTGTCCTCGGGCTGGGGGCACACAGTGAGGCACGCACTCACACATCCCTGCCTTGAGGGACTGGCATGCTGGGGCCAAGCCTCCAGACAGACTCCAGGACAGCGAGGTCCTGCTTTCCCCAAAGCACTGTCTTCCCATGGAGCCTCAGAACCATCGCGCCCCCACTGCCCGCCCCACAAAAGTCCCTGCCTGTTGGTCCTATCATCTACCTTCTCTGAATTGATGGGCTGTGAAGCAAAAATAGATCTGAGCAAAACCAGAGGACAAGGTCATTTTAAAAATCCAATCTAAGGAACAGCGCCGATTATGAATGGGCATGAACTGATCTGACGGGTGGCCTCTGCTACAAAATACCGTGGGGGGGGGAAGAAATGGAGATGGGGTCATGGGAATTCATTATAGAGTTCTCGCTCCTTTTATAAGGAGCCCCGATGGCGACACGGTTAAGCACACCGCTGGGAACTGAAAGGACTGGGTGGGGGGCACTTGGACACCCCCAGCCCAGTGGTTCTGCCTAGAAAACGCCACCTGTCACCTGGACCACTCTGAGGTGGAATCAGCCTGATGGGAGACTGGGAAAATCACGCAGCAGAGCCTTAGGATGGAGTGTGTTGATGACATTTTGACTGTAGTAGAAAAACCTAAGAATCTTGCAACGTGGAAAAATGCTTCAAATATGCACCAAAAATCTCCCCCGCAAACTCCCACCTGATTCAAAACGATCTAGGTTTGCCCCCAGTTCCATCTTTCATCTGTGAAGAAAATGTACGGTGCTCTGGTGAGCTCCCGTGACGGATCAGAGGGTGGGTCACCTGCTCCCTTCCCTGCATGCTGGACATGGACGTGCAGCTGGCGGGGTGTGTGTGTGTCTGTGTGTGTGTGTGTGTGTGTGTCTGTGTCTGGGAGAGAGCGCGTCACCCCACCTGGAAGAACTGCAGCTGCTTCTCCAGGCCCCAGAAGAAGGGGTGCTTGAGCACCTGCTTCGCCGAGGGGCGCGTCTGGGGGTCCATCGCGATCATCTTCTCTATTAGCTCACGCGCGACGATGTCCTCTGCGAAGGAGAGGGGCAAATGGCCACACGTGCGCCCAGACCCAGACCTCCGAAACCTGCCTGATGCCTGCACTCAGCCCGGCCATCAGGCAGACAGGCCCTCCTGGATGACAATTACTGATGCACCGAAACCCCTGGCTGCACTGTGTGTGGCGGACAGGGGCGGCTAGTGTTGGAGGCCGACCCTTCGGCCGACTGAGCCTACAGACTCTGGGAGCCGCGTGGACGGGCAGCTTGCTGTAGAGTACCATCTAACTCTGCTTCGCACGAACCTACACTCCTGTCCCAAGCAGCACTCAGACGCCTATCTACAGAGGCGTTACGCTCGGACGAATCCACACAGAACCGCTGTGGCATTGGGGGCGCAGCCACAAGGAACCAGGACAATAAACAGGGAGCATCTCGCTGTTAGCTGCCCTTGCTTGCAACAGGGAGCACCGGGCTTGCCGTCTCCCAGCTGGGCCATGGCCACGGCTCCTTCTGTCCCCGGCCCAGTGCAGCCGCACAGAGGCTGGCTGACAGAACGTGGACGATGATCTGCCCTCCCAAACGTCTGACCCTCACAGGGGGCCCTCCCGAGTCGCTCAGTGACGGGGTAACAAGCTGGAGACCTGGTGTCAGGAGGGGCTGCACCAAGGATAACCCTGCACAGCCCCCCACCGGCTTGGGGGCCTCGGGGAGCATAGACACAGTGTCATCTCAACCCCCAACCCGGCAGGGGGTGCGTGGCCACCCTAAGCTCCGTTCGCACGCACCATGCTTCTCCAGGTGTAAGCAGTCCAGGCTGTAGGCTCCCAGGAGGATGTTGGCTTGTCGCTGCAGGGACTTGCCGAAGGGGTGGCTGCCCTCAGAGATGACGTAGTAAAAGACACAGCCCGCAGAGAAGATGTCCACCGTGTAAGTCTGCAGAGATACCGGGGGTGAGCGGCCTCGCAGGGGCTTCTTGGTCACCATCGGCAACAAGGGATGGGAGGGGCTGTGCTATTACTTCTGCCTTGAAGGGGCCTGGGAGAATCCGGGAGCTTTTGTGGTGAGCCCGGGGCAGTGCTGGGCACCCAGTAGGTGTCCGAGGAGGTGGGTGCTCACTGGAAAGCCCCAGGTGTGCCCACTACTTGCTTCCTCCCGTGTACACTGGGGCGGGGGTGGGGCACCCTCATGGGACGGGGTGAAGCTTGGAGAAGTGACATGGGAAAGGGTCGGCTGTAGCCATGCTCGGCCTCAGGTGTGCCCCCCTTGCTGCGACTCTTCACCCAGCTGACAAACTCCCAGCAGGATGTCTTGGTCTCAGTCAAGAAGTGAGTGTGCTTGAGTGTGGAAATACACAGCCCCAATCCGGGGACCCCAATTTGAGGGGAAAAACCCTCACAACAGAAGACGTTTGTCACCTACGGAATCAGTACTTGCTCTGCGTTAGGACACAATGCTTGTAGCATGTATCTCATTGTGACGCTCCCTGCAACGTACTGCCTCGGTGAACCGACCAGCCGTCCTCCCAGTCAGTGGGGTCAGCATGGCTGAGTGCCCAGTCTGAATCAGGGAAGTATCAGGTGAGACGATGACGGCCAGTGCTGGAAAGCAAGGTGCTCAAATAGAAATGGGGTCTTGGCAAAAGGACGCCTGAGGTGGCTTGGAGGGATGCCCACAAACAAATCTGGAGCCATTTGAAAATTAAAAAGATATAGGATAAGGAAATGTATAAGGACTATAATCGACTATGGCACTGTTTTAAAAATCCACGAGTCAACAGTGATCCAAAAGAAGAAAAAAGGAAGAGGAAAAGAATTAAGCTCTTCTTTACAGATAAATGTCAACTATGTTACAGAAGAAATAGCCGCTGAATTATGTGACTCAAGGCAAGGTCTACTGATGGATGCTAAGCCACTGGGCAAAGGATGATCGGTAAACAGGACCTTCACACTGTGCCAAAGTGACCCCGAAGATTACTCCCTAATCTCACAGTGGAGAGACCTGGTGATCCACACCCGCATCACAGGATCCAAGTTGGTCACCTGATTGCCGTTGGTATTACCTGCAGCAGAGGCCGTTCCAACTCAGGTAGACTCCAGCACACAGCCCGGCCCTGCACCACCCTCCCGATCCCGGCTGTGTGTGCCCACGGCTGCAGCGGGTCTCTCAGTCCATCTTGCTGGGGTCGGCCTCTTCTCTGCTGACTCCAGTTTACTAAGCATGATGCCTTTCTCCAAGGACGAGTCTCAGCCCCAAGCTGCAGTGTCTGTGATGGCTGCGCATGTCTATGGAAACCAGGCAGGCGGTGGGGAAGACTGAAGGAGAATCAATGCCTTTGAATCACAGGCCGGTGAGAATGCTGAGTAGACGGCAGACTGCCCAGAGAACACAAGCATCTGTCTGGGCAGAAGGCAGCCAGAATGCGCCGTAGAAGTGGAGATGGCAAGACTTTGTCTCAGGTGCTGTGGACGTGTTATCAGGGGCCTGAGACCAGTCCCTGGGGAAGTATCACTAATAGGGGTGCCATCATAAGGCTCAATGTGCCACCGAGTGCTGCCGGATGCCCTGCCCTGCAGCCTGTTCTTGTCCCAAACCACTTCACCTGCATCTGATTGAGGCTCCAGACCTAACTTCTAGATCACAGAAAACTCAAGTACCAGAGAGACACATTGAATAGGATGAAGAGAAGACACTCTTTCACACCTGGAGTGGGGCGTCTGTAAATGAACGGACTCTTCAGGAAGTCCCGATCGGACAAGAAGAGGGGAGATGGGAAGATGGTTCTGGATGAAGAGAGGTCTAGAAAGATGCTACAAAGACACTTGATTGGGTCCTGGTAGACAAAAACTAGCTGTGTGAAAGCTATTTGGGGAACAACTGGGGGAGGAGGGTTTGAATTTGAGTGGAATGTTAAATATTGCAGCAACAGCACTAATTGTTTGGGTCTGACGAGGTACAGACGACCCAAGAAGAATCAACGTGTTTGAACTGTGCTGGTGAAGAACGCAGAGAGGACCGTGGCCGCGGCAGGTCACACACATCTGCTTTGGAAGAAGTGTGACCAGCGTGCTCCTGAGAGGCAAGGGCGGGGAGGCTTCACCTTACATACTTGGGACACATTACAGGAGAGACGGGACCCTGGAGAAGGACTCATGATTGGTAAAGTGCAGGGGCAGCGGAAAAGGCGGCGGCCCCGGAGGAACTGGATGGACACAGTGGCTGCTGCCATGAGGGCGCGGGCAGAGGACCAACAGTAAGGAGGCCGCAGGGCCGGGTGGTGTTCACTCTGTTCTGCGCCACACTGACTCGACAGCGCCCAGCAACACCGAGGCGAGGAAGGGGGATGCCCAGGTACTTGGGGGGAAGGGCTCTCCCGGAGAAAAGCACAGGCCAGGAGCAGCAGCAGCCATGAACGGAGGTGGAGGCACAGCCGAGGGCAGGGAGCTCGTGGAGAAGCTCCGTGTGCTCTTCCTTCCTTGTTTCCTTGCACTTTCTGAAGCGCTCTCATCCACGCATCCACCCCAACCCTCTTATTCTTTTGATTTTCCATACGTCAAACGTTCTCGACGTAAAAAGGCTGGGAAACTGGGGGTTTGTTTCTCTACAGGGGCCTCGGTTTCCCAACGGGGAAGGAGAGCGACGAGGAGAAGGGGAGAAACTAGACCGTGGGCCCCACGGTGCCCTTCATTCATCTGCACCCCAGAGGGACGCAGGCGTCGCTCCTCCAGCTTCGGTGCTGCACCCCAAGTGCAGACCTTGAAGGCTCCCACTGCCGGGTGGTTCCTGGGGCCCAGGGGGCCGGGCCGGGTCCCACACTTACAGGGTTCTCCTTGCAGTCCTCGCTCAGCATCTCGGGGGCGATCCAGCCCTCTGTGCCGGGCACCCCGGATCGGCGGCTGAAGCTGTGCCTGCCGACTGCTAGCTTCTTGCAGAGGCCGAAGTCGGAGATCATGGCCTTGACCCTGCCGTGTGCGTTGGGCATGGACAGGAGGATGTTGTGGGGCTTCAGGTCTCTGTGAACTAACACAAAACTCAACGTGAGTCCAACGCTTACTGCCGGGGCTCCTGACAGTGGGGCGGGGGCGGGCACGGCTGGCAAGCTCCCAGGACTCTTGCCACTGGCAGTCCACATGCTCGGGCCTCAGCTATGTACCAGCCTCCTCAGCGACTTCTGCGACCCTCTGAAGGACGACCCCTCTGAAGGCCCGCCTGCACGTCCCTGCCGCAGCCCAGAGTTCAGACCCGCGCTGGCAGGGGAGGCCGCTCACCGATGCTGAGGGAGTGGAGGTGAGCCAGGCCCGAGGTGGTCTGCTGCAGCAAGGTGATGGGCTCCAGGCCAAGGTGGGCCAAGTCCTTCTGTTCCACGTACTGTGAGAGACAAGAGGGCCCGCCCATCACAACCCGTGGCCCTGGGAGCTGCCCCCGCCCCCCGCCCCCAACTCCAGGAGAAACGAGAGCGCACCGGGCAGTTGACTGGCAACAGTCTCTGTACCAAATGGTCATTTCCAGCCAACCGTCCCCCGAAGTTAGAGCTGACTTAGAGAGGTGGTATGATTCACAGGGAGACAGACACGAGGGCGAGCAAATCAAGCTCGCTGCCTCCTGGGGGCTTTCTGGGGCTTGGACAGCGAGTGGGAAGGATGGGCAGGCCCTTTCAACCACACATCCAGGCCACCAATCGCAACCAGAGACCGCTCCAGGCACACTGGGGGACCACGGTATGAATGGCAGCCCTTCAGGGGGAAACTTTTAGGGGTGGTAAAAATGGTCTGCTTTGTTACTGTGTTAGTTAAAAATGTGCATCAAATTGTACGTTGAAAATGTAGGCCTTTCATTTGATGTCTGGTACACCTCACCCTCACTAAAGTGAACTTAAGCGTCAGACATGTAGGTAAAGTGGTGGTCCCTAAAGCCAGGAGCCCTGGTGGCCCAGTGGTTAAACACTGGGCTGCTAACCACAAGGTCAGCAGTTTGAAACCACCAGCCACCGGAGGGAGAAAGATGGGGCCTTCTACTCCCGTGAAGAGCTGCAGTTTCGGAAACTCACAGGGCAGTGCTACCCTGTCCTCTGTGCCACTGAGTGGCATCGACTTGAGGCAGTGAGTGCTCTCTGAAAGCCGCCCCAGGCGCACCTCCTGCAGCGTGGCTGCGCACAGCTCGATAGCGATGTACTGGAACTGCCGGTCCCGCTCCGTGCAGAAGTAACGGATCACGTTGGGGTGCTCGTCTGACTCCCGCAGCAGCTGCACCTCGCGGTCCGCGAAGCTGAAACACTCGGGGAGGATCCGCTTCACGGCCACGTCTCGGCTGTCGAACATGCCTCTGCAGGACGAGGGTGGGGCTGTGGCTACAGTGGTCCCCTAGGTGCCCGTCCCCTAGGTGCCTGCCCCAGAGGTCCCGGGCAAACTGCAGGCAGGCCCATGGCCTCACTGCTCCCCTCAGGTGGCCGTGAGCTCCGCAGAGGCAGGTCTCTGCCCGCTGTGTCCCTGGCGCACAGGGTGGTGAAGGCCTGGGGCCTTCTCATCCACTCACCTGTACACAATTGTGCCCTCTGCTCCGTGGCCCAAGACGTCCTTGGGACAAAATGAAATTTTCCCAACTAACACCATGCTGGTCTCCTCGTCTGGAACAGAACGGGGCCAAGAAAGGGTGATTTTAAACAAGTACAGCTAAAATCCACAGAGCTGAAAACCTGCCGCCTTCCTGACCTCAGATGAAGACAGGATGGCAGAGGCTCTGGCCACAGGTCCCCAGCAGGCAGCCGGTTCCAGGCCCCATCCATGGCCAGGGTGCCTCCTCCCCGCCCCAGCATGTCTTGGCTCCTGCCCTCCCGCTGTGAGGGGCAGGGAGCCCAGCTGAGCGCCCTGAAGCTCTCCCAGCTTCCCACACCCAGCTCTATAGAAGGAGCCCTGGTGAAGCGCTCGGCCAGCTGCTCCGAGGAACAGAGATGTGGTGGTCTGCTCCCAAAACGATTTATAGTCTACTCTGTGCTAGAGGGGTGCTGTGAATTGGCGCCGACTCCAGTTTCGTTTGGTTTGGGTATCTAGCTACATACACACTCATGTTCTTACGTATGGTTAGAGTGTTAAAAATCCAAACCAAACCACCTATCCTGAAGTGAAATATTTGCACCCTGAGACAAGTGAGCATGAAAACTGAGAGGCCAGGAGCAGACACCCCTGCCTGAGCCTGGGCCCCAGGGCTCTCCTGCACAAGTCTGGCCTAACTCCCCCAGAGTCCTGGGCTCGGCCCTGACAGCCGGCCAGGGTCAGGCTCCCAGAGAGGGAGGAAGCTCATCAAGTTGTACTTCTATACTTGGCCACTGGGTGGCTGCAGGAACAGGGTGGAGCCAAGGTGGCCATCACACCTCTGGCCAGCCCATTCCCGCCCCTGTGGATCAGGATGGAGGAGGACTGGGGTCCAGAAGGCCCTCTGAGAGGGGAGTTCCCGGGACAGCTGAGAGCACCCCCCACCCCACCCCCCAGCACAGGGAGTTGTGAGTGAGCGTGGAGAAGCCCTGGGGGTGGAGGAAGAAAGCGGGTTCAGGGGAGCGACAGCCTGCTTCCCTTACCCTCATCATCCTGGTCCGGGAAGGGGCAGGCTCCGACCTTGGAGGTGGAGCCGCTGGAGTGCAGGGAGTGGTTGGAGGCTCTGGGGGACGTGCTGGGGCTGCTGGTGGCCGAGCTCTCCGAATAGAGGCCAGAGGTGTCCAGGGGCTCCGAGTCCAGCGCCGAGTCGGAGGCTGGGTGGAAGGGCAGCTGCTGCTGCTGCAGGAGCTGGATTTTCTGCAGTTCCTTCTGGAACTGCTGGTGCTGCAGCTGCTGCTGCTGGTGCATGCTCTGGAAAGGGAGGTGTCCATGCAGCCCGGGCAGCCCCCACCCCCGCCCCAACCCCCACCAGGGAAGGCAGGGGGGGTTTGCATGACCCACAGGGCAGAGGGAGTAGGCCAGAGGCACTGGGGGCAGTGCTGCTCCCTGAGTGTTCCGCCTTCTTGAGGGGCTAGTCCCTTCTGGGCAGCCCACCCCGGCCACGGGAGCACTGGGAGAGGAGGAAGTGGGCCCCAGGTGCAGGGCATCCAGGTCCACTCTCAAATTCAGCAGCTTTTGCTGAGAGTCCGGGAGTTGTTGCAGAAGTGAAAGCCCAGGAGAAGTAGAACCAACTGAGAGACAGAGGTGGGTTTGGCGGGGGCACGGGTGTGCTGCTCACTCTGGCCTGTGCCTGCAGAGAGGCTGGCTCAGGTGGGTCAGTGAGGGCCCAGCTAGGCTAATGAGAAAGCTGGGCTCAGGCCTCACAGCCACCTGCCCAGAGCCACACGGCCAGCTTGTGGCAGAAGGGGCTGAAACACGGATCTGGCCCAGGTCCCCCTTCTCAGTACCCCTCCCTGTAGCCTCTGACACCCTTATTTGCAACGCCTGTGCTGATTACGTCCCAGGTGTGGAAAGGTGGCTAAGGGAGCAGCGAGAGGGGACACCCGGGTGCATCCTGGCATTCCCCTTTCACCTGGGGCTGAGGTCCCCGGAGCCTCTGCTCACCGAGTAACCTCGGGGGAAGCAGATGATAGCAGTGACCCCGGGCCTGAGGGGAGGGCCCAACCAAACGTCTGACCCGTGCAGCTGTTGGGGCGTCGGTCCGTGTGGACACATACCCCCCGAGTGCGTGTGTACTGCCATGATGGGCTGCTGAGGGAAGCTCCTCCACCAGCCCAGCCAGCAACGTAAGGCCTGCTAACAAGTCAGGGCTATGCCCGGACCCCAGTCTGACTCTGCCGACATGCTCTCAGGCAGTTTCTAAGCGGGAGAGGGAGGTTTTCACGCCTGCTGTCCCCGTTCTTAGAAACGGAGCCGAGTGCTGAGTGTTCCAGAGGGCCTATGAGCAAGGCTTGTCAAATGAAAGACTCTACGTCCCGGGCTCAAGACCGCCCTCTTCTGAGAAGGCGGTGCCTCCTTAGTGACCCTGCTTGGGGAGCTAGGCAGACAGTGGTGTTTCACTGGGAGGGGACAATGGTTGGCTGGTGGGCTGTCTTTGTCTGAGCCCCCGTGGCCAGCAGGCCCAGGTGCCTGGCAGCCCGGGACCGGGGGCAGGCTGAGCCTTACCATGGGGTAGGTGATGATGAAGGCCACCCAGCCAATGAGCAGGAAGGTACTCAGGATGATGGTGGCCATGTCCTTGAGCACAGAGTCCACAGGGGCCTCGGGCTTGGCGGGGGCGAACTTCTCTTCCACATCCTGGGTGACGGTGGTGGGCGAGCTCTCGGCCGCCTGGTCTACCAGGTGGATGACCTGTGTGGGAGCGTGCGCACCTTCACAGCGAGCCAGAGCACAGGGGGCCGGGTGGGCGTGTCTTCTCCTGGGCTGCCCAGGAATAGGCTGGGTCACAGGCCCGCCTCCTTTGAGTCTGGGAGCTGGACCTTCGTGCCCTGCTCCAGACGACGCTTCCCTGGGCTGTTCTCATCCCGCCAGGACCCTCCAGCTGGCCACACACTGCCCATTCTTCCTGGCCCTACTGGGCCTCCTGCTCTCCCCACCTGCTTCACCCTGCCCTCCTCTTCTCTCCCGCCCTTCGTGCTCTGGGATCCCGGCACCCCTCCTTAATTAGACCTCGTGCTGTAAAGCCAGGGCTCCCTCAAGGCCTGGCATAAAGAGCCGCCAGCCCCTGCCCACACCCCACTCGCCTCCTCGAAGCTCTTCTTCTCGGCGTCGGCAGGAATCACGTTCTCCCGATGCCGGGGCAGGTTGTTGGGGAACCTCTCCAGCATCTTGGTTGAGGCGGACAGCGGCGTTTCGTGGTGGCCTAGGTGAGGACACAAAGCCTTCAGTGAGGGCAGCTTCCCCCGCGTGGAGTTGTGCCCCATAAATGAGGTCACTGTCCCGGGACACACAGGTCTGAGGTGCATACTTGACTCCAGAAGTTGCCGTAACACGTTCATTTTATTAGCCGGTGACGTGGGAACGGTATGGGCGGGCAGAGAGGTTTCTGTGGGGGGAGGCCCTGAGGAGTTCCCGACGTGCTCTCAGAAGCGAGGCACACGGGGCTGAGTCTGGCTGATTTGCTTAGTGCCCCGTTCACAGCTGAAGCTTCCGGAGCTGTGTGACCAGCTGGGCAATGCTCCCTACAACGCTTAGCCCCGGGGCAGCTCTCTGCAAAGGCCACCAGATGCCCTACTGAGAGCACTCGTCCCTCTGTGTCTCTCGGGGGAACGGGACACGGGACACGTAAGTGAGCTGTGTGGACGAGGGCCAAGGCTCCAGCAGGTTCTCAGTCGTCACCGGATGTTCCCTACACTACCGTTCCTGGAGGACCTAGCAACCGGTCACTGCCTGGCCCCGGCGATGTGCCAATGACCTCAGGAGGTGCGGTGGGCACTTGCTGTGGGGCTGGGTGACCTGGTTTAGCTCTCACACCGAAAGGCTCCATCTGGCTGTGGTCACCTGGGACGCTTGCCAGAGACCTAGCTTCTCCCACGTGCCTCTGTGTCAACTGTCACACTTACTGCCTCTGTCCCCAGGACGCCGCCCTGGGGTGTCAATGAAACACCCTATCTCTGCAGCTGACAGCGCCTCCATTCCCAGCCCCACGCCCTTGGCTGGCGCATGGACAGGAAGGAAATGGGGAAGGGAACATCCACACCCACTCCAGAGAACACGGCCCGGGGCAGCTCTCTGAGTGCCCCCCAAAACACCCGCCTCAGTCTTTCTCCTGGTCTGCAACCCCTCCTTCCTCGACCCCAAACCACATCGGAGGGACTCCTTCATAGGAGGACCTGTTCCCTTACCTAAAAAATGGAACAGACGAGGCACCGGCTTCACCGCGGGCCACTGTGAGAAACCAACGAGAGATGGATTCCCAAGTGCTGGGCCCCGGCCGGGTGGGCACCCACCACGTGCTGACTTTTGGGACATGAAGGGCACGATGACTTGTGAGAGAACTGACTGGTTCACACGGGTGGGCTGTTTTCCTTGTGGGGGAGGGGAGGAGGGCGGGGTAAAATGCCCCAAGGTCTAAGCGGCTGACTTAGAAATGCTTTAAGCAGGCGGCATTCAAAGCCCAGGTGACAGTAAGTTAGCAAGGTGGCCTCTGCCCACCGGAGGCGGTGTCTGACCATCGCCTGCTTGGAGAAAGCAGCTCTTAGCCCACCCTCCCCCTTCCCTTCCTCCGGCAACCCGCCTGCAGCAGAGCCCCTGGGGCTCGTGAGGACCCCATGGAGGTCAGGGGGGCGCTGTGCCCCCCAGGGCCGCCCGAGGGTGGTGCTTCCCACAGCCCATCAGCAAGTCTTCGTGGGCCCCCAGTGAGGGGTGGAGCCTCCTCCGCGTACCTATCAGAAGCCAGTAGTTCCTCAGGTAGTTGAGCTTGTTCTTCCCTTTGAGAGCAGTGTCAAACTTCAGGTCCGTGCTGGGCGTGATCACGCACTCGCCCTTGTCGCCAATGGTGACCCCGTCGGTCTGGGGGCCTTCCAGCAAGGGAAGAGCGCTGCCGCGGGGCTGTGGACACAGACTGCAGTGAGGCAGGCCCCGCCGGGGTCTTCCCAGCACTGCCCCAGTGTGACAGCACTGTCCACCTCGACAGAAGCTGGGCTCCCAGGGCCCCAAGACTGGCAGGTGAGCTTATTCCCCGAGGACTCCACAACCCAACGCCGGTGCCCTTAACGTGGGCACCAGCCTCGTTTCTCATGGCTGGGTCCTATGGAGCGGGCAGGGTGTGTGGGGACCCCGAGAAGCTATGAGGGGAAGCAGGTACCTTGGTGGAACCGTGGCTAAAGCACTCAGCCAGTGACCAAAAAGTCGTGGTTTGAACCAACCAATCACTCGGTGGGTGCTCTGTCATGGCCGGCAGAGCATTGGAAACCCTGGGGCACTCTACTCTGCCCTGTCAAGTGCCCGTGAGCAGAACCACTGGACAGCAGTGGGAGTGAGTTAGGGTATTATGCAGAGCGGTTATAAGTACCAGAGAATGAATGGGCATCTACCAATTCCCAGCATCTTCCAGAAGCTCAAGTTGAGGCAATGCATACGTACGGGTAGAACAAGTTCTGGCCCTGCCAAGCGCTGGCTCGGGTCACAGCTTCAGATGCCACCCTGCCCAGTGGGCAGGCGACCAGGGGAGCGGTCACGGGTGGCCTACAAAAGCAGCGCCACAGCTCAGGCCCCACCAGGGCCAGAGGGAAGCGGGGCTGGGGGTGCTCCGAGGATGGAGAGGACAAGGGAAGCAGAAAGAGCGCCTGAAGGCAGGGGCACGGCAGGGATAGAGGCTCAGAGGAGAGGTTTCTGGAAGTCGGGGAGCAGGCAGACTGGTTGGGCAGCACCCCGGCCCAGAGGAGCTAACAATGTGGCTGCCCCGGCGACTGGCCCCTGGAGTTCAGCTTGAAGCGTGGCAGCCAGGGGGCAGACACGCGCCTCTGCTCACGGAGCAGAACGTGGCCTGTGCAGAAGCTGGTTTGGAGGATTTCAGATTTGTGGTCGGCATTCCCAACCCACAAGCTGTTCATCCACAACTCAGTCACTGTAGCTACAATGGAGGAGGCGTTAGGGGGCTGCGGCAGTGAGCCCTCTCGGGCCCCACCCCGGGACTTACCACGACTGCGACCCCTTCATGCACCATGGAGGGGGAGGCATACAGGCTGGTAGAGTATTTCCCAACATACAGGGTGGGCCTGTGGGCGAAACACACACATGTTCCAGTCACTCCATGTCCAGAGCCCACAGGCAGCCCTTTGGAAAGAGAAGCCATAGTCCCAGCCACCACCCCAGGTCATAACTGCCTTGAAGGAGGAAAGCTGGGGGTGGGAGGCAGGGCACTGTCCCAGGGTCCAGGAGAACAGTCACTCATGGCCTACAAAGCACGGACAAGCCGCCTCACTGCAAACCTCCCTTCCTGATCGGGAAGTGGCAGGGCTGGGCTCGGCCCTGCCCGTCACAGCCTGCAGGAAGGACCGTGGGCGGGCGGGCCCAGACCTCCTGGTAGAGGCTGGATGCTCAGCAAGCCTGAGCAGCACACTGTGGGACTGAGTTCCCACTAGCGTCACCACTGGCCTGCACGCCGTGTGCTGGTCTTAGGGTTCTAGAGGAGCCCTGTGGTATAGTGGTTATGCGTTGGGCCAGTGGCAGTTTGAAACCACCAGCCGGTCTTCAGAAGAAAGTTGAGTGAGGCTTTCTACTCCCATAAAGAGCTGCAGTCTGGGAAACCCCGGGGCAGTTCTACCCCGTCTTATAGGGTAAGTCAGAATTGACTCGATGGTAGTGTTTGTTTTGTTTTCACGAGAGGGTCTACAGAGGCTCTGAGAAGCCATGGCATGTTGTTAGCCTGGAGGTCCCAGAAAAGCCTCATAGATGCTTACGGAATTCCAAGCTGGGCAAGACTTCCTGTCCTCCAGCTCGGTGGCCCATCTTGGACGGGGGCATCGAGGAAGGGATAGGTCTATGGTGTCAGTTTGGAGATGGTGGAAGCCTAAACCTCTCTCAAGAAGCAGCCAGCATTTGCAGGTGTCCGACCACTTAGAGAGTAAAACGAACTCACTCTATCGAGTCCATGCTGACTGACAGTGACCCCCAGTGCGCTCCCGAGACAGTGACTGGACAAGAGTAGAAACCAGTCTTTCTCCACGGAGTGACTGGTGGCTTCGAACTGCCGACCACCATGTCCGGATCACAGCCCACCTGTAACCACTGCACCCCAGGGTTCCTCTATTGAGAACTCTCTGGGGAAACCTTCTCCACGAACTCTATGAGGTAGGATGCAGGCTCGGGGAGGTGCAGTGGCGTCCTTACGGTGGTTCACCGGGGGGATGGAGACCACCAGCTGGCTGGGCCTCAGACATACCCACGTACTAGAACCGCCCCTGCCCACTTTCTTCTGGCTTTAAAAAATGGCCTCGACCCATAACCAATGTTTAGAATCAAATGAAGAAGCAAAAAGCCTCCAGAATTCCCACCAGCTGAACGCTATCCGAATGGATCCACGGCGACAGCTTCCCCTCTTGCCACCTGTGACTTTAACTTGTTCTCTCTCCAGAAGGGCTGCACCCCTTCCTCCACTCGGAGGTTCTGCCTGAGCGCAGGGTCTGCCACATGTGGTCGTCCCAGGACCAGGTCAGTGCAGCCCGCCCTCCCCTGCCCCAAGGTCCCTGGACTTACATGAGTTTGCTCTTGGCCTCCGTCTCCTTGGGGAAGGGGTACTTCCACTTGGTGATGCGCCCCACCTCCCCGGACATGAAGGTCAGGTAGCGCAGGGTCTCCACGGCGACGTTGATGTGCATCACCTTCCGCAGGCCCTCCCGCTGCCAGACGTAAAGGGACACCACAGGGGAGGCGTAGTTTTGGATCCAAAGGACGTCCCCGGATTCACTGTCCACGGTCACCACCAGCCCGTCGCCATTGGACACGAAGTGGGACATCTCTGCAGTGGAGCAGACACACAAAGGAGGTCACCTCTCACTCTCCCTCGCGGCCACATCCTCCCCCACGTGGCAAGTGGCAGTCTCTCAGCTCGAGGCAGCAAGCCTTCTGGGGCGTTGGGAACTCCGGGGACCAGTCTCGTGCTCCCGGAGCTCACTCAGGACACCGAGAGCAGCCTGGCTCACACACTAAGATCCGAGGGTAACTAGTACCAAGGAGAAAGGGGTCAGGGGCGAAGCCTGTTAACATGGCTTTCTGTAGCAACCCTTTAAAATAACTCCATGGACCAAGTTGAAGACAGTCTGCACCTGGTTCAGACAGGGCGCTGAAGGTGGTCAGATGAGAATACTTAGGTCCTGGGTCTGAAGGATTTCCATGAAACTCAGACCACTGGCCTACGTGCAGTAATTCATACACACTCTCAGTCAACCCATCCACTGCAACCCCATTCAGTGTACCCCTGCTGGACCCCTCCTCCCAGGCTCCACTCCTCCTCCTGTCCTCATCCCCCCACCACCACCACCTTCACCTCCGGTAAATGCTGTCCTTTTGATCTTAAGTGGCTGACTAGTCAAATGTGGAGGTGGGTGGTGTTACCGATCTGAAGGGTAAGGGCCGTGGTCTTGGGGGGCCCACAGCTCCATCTGACTAGTAAGCCCAATCTCCGTAAGGATTTCTAGTTCTGGTCCACATTTTCCTCCCACGCCATCCAGAACCTTCTAATGTGATCCTTTTCAGAGCAGTTTCCCACCAGACGTTCAGAGAACCGCACTGCTTTTCAGGGTTCCCTCATGCAGAGGAGGTTAACCAGAGAAATCACCCCGGGATGAGACACAGGTAGAGAGAGGCCTTCTTGATGAGGTGGCTCATATCCCACACCAATTTCTAATTCTCTTTCTGGGGGCTGGTAGTGAATTCCTTTTCGGACACAGAGGGACTCCGAGGTGTGCCGGCCCTTCTCTCGGTGCCCCTCCAGACTTCAGCACTCAGGCCTTTGCCACCCCGGCTACCAGCCCATGGAGAGCTCCGAGCGCGGTGAAGCAGCATCCGAAGAGGAGATCCTGGTGTCTGGGGTGAATGCTTCTCCTCACTGGTCCAAAGTACCGGCCCAACCTTCCGCAGCGGGCCGTGAAGCACTTACTGTAGTCCAGGTCGTCCTCGGGCAGTGAGGCGGCGTAGTCAAAGTAGGTTGCGTTCCAGCGGAGCTCCCGGGATCTGGTGTCGTACATGGTGATGGTGTACTCTGCAGGACACACACCAGCCCATTACCACGGGCAGGCCACACCCCGACCGGGATGCTGGCCGTACTTAAATTACAACCCACGGGCGGTACTTGGCCTCCCTGAATTGCAGGAGAGACCGTCTAGCCAGCCCTATGGACAGGGAAAGACCACATGGAGGGAGGTGACGTCCTGGACAGCTACGTGAACACAGCCAAAGGCACAAGCGGAGACAAGCTGCCCTCCCAGGACTGACTCACAGAACTGTGAACAACAGGACGGCTACTGTTTCGAGCCGCTTGACGGCTCGGGGTGGTCTATTCCATGAGAAAAGGCTTTTAAAATTCCATCATCTTTTCATCATCTCCCCATAACCTTTCGGAAACCCCTGAGGATAAAAGATAACCGATACAGAATTTGGTACCTAGATGTGGGGTGATGCTTAATGACGCCCTAAAGCCTGTGGCCCTGACTTTGGGCCTCAGAGACGGGTTGCGGCTGGGAGGTGACCAGAGCTCTGTCACCAGAGAAGGAGAGACAAACAGGGTCCCTGCTGCTGGGAGCAGAACAGGGCGACCCTGCTCATGTCACGGTGACACACGTACACTCCCGCGGGCAGGCACTTGGGAGAGAAGGAAGTTCCAATGAACCTGTGCACCTGACTGAGGAGCTAGCTGGGCAGACCGCAGAACATGCCCATCAGTTTTTCTCGGCTTGGTGTGATCAGTCAAGCCTGCCAATGCCGGGAGCTGCGGAAGGCGGAACCCCGACTATTTTCCCCTAGAGGAGTGACGGTGGGGGTGTGGCACCCTGTCAAAGGCAGCTCGGCCCAGCCTGGCTCTCAGGGCTTCCTGGAACAGCCCTGGAATGCCCAGGGGCAGTCCCAATCTGCCCTACTGGGTCGTTAAGAACTGGAATTGACTGGACAGCGATGAGATGGAGGGCCCCAGGCCATCTCTTCATCTGGTAAAAGATTCTCAAGATGAAAGTCGGCTTTGCATGAAACCTTAAGGTGCTGGCAGTGAAGCCTGGCCTCAAGGTCAAGGTCAACTCAAAGGCGAGACTGCAAGATGCCAGCAGGGCATCTGTAACCTCAGAAATAGTCACAGTGCCTCTGAGAGATGAGAAGGCTGTGGGATGGAAACGGTGTATCTTTTTAACAGTTTTACGAGCACTGCATCCACATGTCATATAATTCAATCATCTGGTCCTACGTGATGAGTTGTGCAATCATCACCACATTCAGTTCTAGAACAATGCAGGGGTTTTTGCCTTGAAATGTTCTCACTATCCAAAGTGGAGAGAGGGTCTGTCTCACAGAGATCTGTGGGCATGGCTAGTGTCGAGTGGAGTGGACTACAGTTTGACACATGGAAAATCCAAAATGATGTGAAAGAGTGCTTGCTGTCAGCGATGGACTGAAAGCACTGGAAACAGTCAAAGTGGGGGAAAGGGGCTTCTAAAGCTGGTACCAAGGACTCGAGCAGAGAGAAAATGCTTTGAGAATGACGACGGCAACAAATGTGCAAATGTGCTTGACACCATGGATGGATGGGTTGTGAGAAGAGTTGTACAAGCCCACAATAAAATGATCTTTTTAAAAGGGTCTCTAGACCTCCAACTTGTACTGAACAAGGGACAGGCAGGAAGCTACGAAACACTAGTTATTTCTGGCGGGAAAAGGAAGCAAGTCTCAGAGAGCAGAAGCAAGGGCCACTGAGAACAACATACTGGAGAAATAATTCCAGAGGAGGAGACTGGCCCTCACCGGGGGCTGTAACCTGCTGTCAGGGGAAGGAGCCCAAAGCCTGGCCGGATGGCAGCGTGACTCTGGGTCATGCCGCTCACGTGATTGAGAATGTTTACTGTAGCTGTCCTGTGCCTGTCTCACCAGCTTATGTGGGGCTGGAGAACATACGAGGGCGGGCCCGACTGACCGACCCAGAGAAGACACCCCTTTCAAGATCTGACGCAGGTCACGAGGTGCTGGGTTTTCCACTGTGGGAGTCTGGGGAGGGGCAGCATGTTCTGCGTGCGGCAGCCTTTCTGAAAAGTTCGCCAATTCTTTCCTAGCCTGTGAGTCGATGCAGCTCCTTCCTTTAGGAGGCCAAGCCCGTTTCGCCACTCCTTTGATTCTTATGACTTGCTTTGGCCAAGAAACCGCAGTGGGAATAAAGTTTGGGGGCTTCCGAGCCCAGGCATTATGAGCCATGGTGATAGACACCTAGTTGCCATGCACAAGTCCACCCTCTCTACGTGGAGAGCCAGGTCCCAGACAGGAGCGAGCCAGCCAGCAGCATGTGGAGTGGGGAGGACCGTCTCACTAAGCACTTCTGGGGCAGCGGTAAAATGACTGCTGCTGTTGTCTTGAGTTAGGAAGGTCCTGGAGACCAAAGTCACACACCTATGCACTTGCCCCCCACCTAACGCTCTCAAGCACCACCACTTTGCCCGAGAACTTCGCGCTTGCGATGCCTGGGGGAAGCTGGCGTCACTGCCAGCCTTTACCTGCTAGAAAAGCAAGCAAACAAAACCCTAAGCAGGCCACCCAGCCGAAGACTTGCTTTCTGAGGACGGTGGTAGGGCTTGGGGTGGGCTCTGCAATCCGTACAGACTGGCCTCCGAGCTCCTGGAGAGGCCAGGCAGCTGCCAGGGGGCCATGATGCATTTCACCAATCTTTAGGAAGGCACCTTTCTGCACAGCACCTGAAGAAAGCCCCCAACCTCACCCCACTGCCCTCTCCCTCGCTCCCTCAGCTCGGTGCCCTGAATGTTTAGACCTAAATGGAGTGGTCACTTGGAATGCCTTCTTCCCAAGTGTCTGACACAATCCTCACCCCCCACCCTGACCCCCTTCTGAACGCTTGCTTGCTTCCCGTTTGGCTGTATTGTATCTGCCACCCAGCCCTTCACACTGAGGGCAGTGACAGCGGCTGACACCTGGTGAATCAGCTCGGTTCCTGCCAGTTACATATCTGAGCACCGGGCAGTGTGCTCGGTGCAAGGATGCAGAGGGGCCACAAACGGGGCGTGAGCCCAGGGGGGAGGCGAGTAGGACACATGAAGCAGAAAAGGATGGAGGGTGCTTGTCATAACTCATGAGGGGCAAGGATGGAGGCTGCCTCTGGGGAGGCCGGGGAGGGGCTTTCCAGATGAAGGGGCTTTTGAGCAGAGGCCTGAAGAAAGGACGTGTGCAGACTGGTGGCGAGGGACACACGGCCCAGCGCAGCTTGCTCTGGAAGCGGCAGGGAGCACTGCGGATGGACAGTGTGGAAGTGGGGGAGACGCAGGGACGGCCGGTGAGCAGCCCAGGGCTTCTGGGACCAAGCTTCTGGGGTTACAGGAAAGGCAATGGGAGACAGGAAAGGCTATTTCAGAGGGGCACAGCATACTCGGGTCTGTGTTTGGAGAAGGCAGCCAGGGGCGGGACGCTGTCTCAGATCCCTGCAGGCTGAAAGCCATCAGAGGTGCCTTGCTTACCTGTCCGCCCGAGGTACAGAAGCGAGGTGGACGGGCACAGACTTTCTGCGAAGGTCGACGACAGCGTCTGCTGCTTCTCCCCGGTCAGAAGGTCGACAACGTACCAAATGTCCTGCTTTTTACCTGGAAGGTCACGGGATACACTGGTTTAGCCCGCGTTACATATAAAGGGGGAAAAACATCACTGCCACACCAGCAGCCCAAGGGGTCGTCTGTGCCCTGAGAGACGGGCTTGGGGTTCCCACAGGGTCTGGGACATTTCTGTGAGGCTCGGAAGGCGGCAATGTAAAGGGTAGTGAGGAAATCAAAATTGGGGGGGGCCACTGGATTTTAAAAAAAAATAGTTTTATTAGGGGCTCATACAACTCTTATCACAATCCATACATACATCAATTGTGTAAAGCACATTTGTACATTCATTGCCCTCATCATTC